AAAAAAAGAAAAATTGCATATTTTATATGAAGATAAAATGACAGTATAAATGTCTATTATTTTGTTCAACATCTAATAAGTCCGAAAACCATGAATGTTATCTCTTTCTCTTGTTTCACAAGTGTTTATCAGACCAGTTCTATACAAAGTGCTATGCAAATACATGAATAAATTCCTAAACCTATCAGTCCCTGTCCTCACAATTTTATCATCCATTTCTCACTCTACATATTTGTGCTAGTCAAAGTACCCATACCATGACAAATTCTTGAAACAAACGACTGCAAAGAAGGAAAGATTTATTTGGGTTTATAATTTCAAAAGTTTCAATTATGATAACCAGGATGATAAGGAAATCCAAAATATCATAATTGTAAGCACATGTAATTGGAGTTGCTCTCTGCAGAGTGACTATGTATCAGAACAAATGACTGACTGAAAGGAACAGGGGACATGATATATCATTCAAAGGGGTGCTCTCAATTTCACACTTCCTGATACCAGAATTCAGTTGCTAGTTTCCCCTTTCCTTCTAAATAATTTCACTAAATCGTGAATCTACCAGTGGATGAATCCATTGGTTACTTCAGAACCTCCATGATGTGATTACTTCCCCAAAGTCCCACCTCTAAACACTGCTGCATTAGGAACCAAGACTTGTTCACATGAGCCTTTGGGAGGTAACCTTTTATATTCATACACTAAGGATAGTGCTAATGTCTCAACCAATACCAACTTAAAGAGTTGATTGTTTGCATCTTTTTTGCAATTCTGTACATAGTCTTAGGTAATTTGTAGCTAAAAGTTGGCCAGGTTGTGTTATTTTTTATTTAAATTAGAAACAATCTTATTTTACATATCAGTCCTGGTTCCCTCTCCGTCCCATCCTTGTATGCCCTGCACTGTCTCCCCATTCCATTCCTCTTCTGCTCCCCAGGGAGGGTGAGGCCTTCCATTGGTTATCACCAAAGTCTGTCATATCATTTGTGGTAGGGCCTAGGCCCTCCCCCAAGTGTCTTGTCTGAGAGAGTATCCCTCTACAGGGAATGGACTCTGAAAGTCCATTCATACACCAGGAATAAATACTATTCCACTCCCAGAGGCTCCATAGACTGCACAGGCCTCTTAAATGACACCCAGGTTCAAGGGGTCTGAGTTGGTCCTATATTGGTTTCCAAGCTATCAGTCTGGGTTCCATGAGCTCCCCCTTGTTCAGGTCATCTGTATCTGTGGGTTTACCCAGCCTAGTCTTGACACTTTACTCACCATTCCCCTATATTAGGAAATTACCAATACAGAGTCAGGTAGAAATACAAGGGTATTTAATAGGGAAAAGCCTTACTTACAGAGCGACCTAACCAGGCAGCGTGGCAGTAGTATGTCCAGCAAGTACCAAAGTGAAACCAAAAGAGCAAACGCAGTCAGACTACGTCACCCTGACCACGCCCTCGAAAGTGTGGTCAGGCACACCTGTAGCCAGCCCCTAAGTAGACATGGCTACAGCTTTCCCTACAATTCCCCTTTTAGTCTAAAAGAGGATTAAAACTTAACAGTGTAAAGTATCCAAAATTAACAATCATAAAGGTAAAATATAAGAAGATACAAGAATCTGCTTATGTCATATCCTAACTATCTATTTTAACTAAACCCTAAAGTCATCTCCTCCCTCTCTGCACCTGAATTTCAGAAGTTCGGCTCAGTGTTTAGATGGGTGTGTTTGCTTCTGCTTCCATCAGCTACTAGGTGAAAGCTCTAGGATGGCATATAAGGTAGTCATCAATCTCATTATCTGGGAAGGGAAAGGTAGTAGCCTCTCCACTATTGCTTAGATTCTTAATTGGGGTCATCCTTGTAGATCTTTGGACATTCCCTAGTGCCAGATTTCTCTTTAAAACCATAATGGTTCCCAGGTTTTTTTATTTATACAATCATGAAATGAAAACAAGTTGGAAATTTCTACTCTTTCCCCAATCTTATGCCTTTGAAAGTTTCTCAGTTGCATAGCATAATGGAAAACATTCTTCATTATTTGTAAGGAGGTATTGTACTTTATAATTTGCCACTTACTAGATAGTTGTCAAAGTAGATCAGAAGTAAAATGGAATACTACTAATTCAGGTGTTTCAGCCATAATAGAGCAATCATAAATATCAAATTAAGTAGTATGCTTTAATATGTTATAAAATGTAGCACACTATTTTATTTACCAATATGATTGACCATGTTCCAGAGCTTAAAGGAAGCTATAGGAAAATAACTATAAGTTAAAGATAACCTTGACTACATAGTGATTTCCAGGCTTGGCAGAAGCTGTCTTAAAATAAAAGTCAATAAAATGATGATGTTGTGACTTTTTGAGTGATATTTTATTCATTTTACTATCAGATTGTTTTCCAAATTAATTTCCCATCTCACTAGAGGGAAGGTTAGTAAAAACTGATATTGACTTATTTACTCAATAATTATTGGTACATAAAAATGAACTATAATCACATTGTTCCAATTTCCTTTTTTCATCACAGAACTGGCAGAAATATCCCTTTCTATTCAGCTCTTTATTTAGAGTAATCATTCTTCTATCACAATGACTCCTCAAAGTAAAGTTCTGGATGGAGAAGTACAAAAGGTGAATACGTGCAAGAAGAAATGGCTTTTCCTCCTACAGTGATTTGTAGGGGACAGTGTAAGCCACACCTGCTAGGAGGTGAGGTCAGGATGATGAGTGATATGTTTTTAAGGGGCTGAAAGGCAAATGGGAGCCCCTTCTCTCTGGCCTGCCTGCCTTGCTGCCCCTGGCATGCTCTGGCTTGCGTTTGTTGTTTTTCTAATAAAGGTTATCTTTATCCCAACCTCACTTTATTTCTCAATAGTGATTAGCCTTATTTTTTGCAGGTTATTTGTCATATTGTGAAGGACTCATAGCCTCCTTGATGAGCTGATTCTTAATTCCATTTGTTTTTACTCCAACTCTCTCATCTAAAATAAGCCTCAGTGATTTAGTAGAGCCACACTCTACTAAACATTAAACCAGATCATAATGGGAGAGAAGATAGTTGATTTCTTAGTACAAAGAGAAATGGGGTAAGAAACAAAACCAGCAACAACAAAAGGACTTTATCATCTTGGTTTTACATTACCTGAGCGCTTGACTGCTGGTTCAATTCTCAGTACTGTTACTGGCACAAGACTTTGCCTTGGGCAAATCACTTAACCTCCTTGTGTGCCTGACTCTCTGTAAAAAGAATGAAGCAAAGACACAGCTTAATGTTTACACAACAATCAGGGCTCCTGGAAGCATAACACCATGATGTATTGGTGGCAGACATAAGGAACTACTCTTTAAAATGTGAAGCTGCAGTTTTATAGTGCTTAGATCTCACATAAGAGCATGGTGTTTATCACATATCCTTTCTGCTTTCCCTGGATGGTGAGGTGATAGATAGGGTTTTTGTTGGGGGGGATGGTAGGGGAGGACGGGAGGGAGAAGAGAACTGGATTGGCATTTAAAACAATCCTGTTTCTAATTCAAATTAAAAAAATGATCATAGTGTTTGAAGTCTTATACACAGTTATGTTTGTTATTCTTTAAAAGGCAAACAGACAAATTGAAACCAGACTTACAAAGCTAAACATGTCATCTATTTCTCTTCAAGGTTATTTATATGGGCCTCTCTCATTATTTTCATGGCAAAGCATTAGCAAATGATGTGCAGAAAAGATCTGAAAGTCCTTCCTGGATTCCAATACAGTACAAATGAAGCTGTACTTCTTCACACTGATGCAGTCTCTTTTGAAATATAATGAATGCTGGCTGATTAAGACCATATATTAGTATTCAATTAAAAGAACTTCCTTTTCTTGATTGACTGCAGCTTGCCAGCTCTTTATATAGAATCTTATGCAATGTTTGTAACTGCTGTCAATAGTCAGGAATATCTATATACAAGTGAAAATCTTTATCACAAGTGACTCAGAAAGATAAAGAAACTTAATCAAACTAATCAACTATATGATAAATTACAGGATGAATTTATTCAAATCTAAACTCCAGATTTCTCTTTGAAAAATAGATTCAGTATTCACATTTCTATGATGAATTAATACACACACAAAAGAAATGTTTGTCAGGCTTTGGTGGCACAGGCCTTTAATCCCAGCACTCGGGAGGCAGAGGCAGGTGTGTCTCTGTGAGTTCAAGGCCAGCCTGGACTCCAGAGTCAGTGCCAGGATAGGCTCCAAAGCTACACAGAGAAACCGTCTCGAAAAACCAAAAAAAAAAAAAAAAGAATTAATACAGTTTCAGGAGACCTGCTCCAGCAGGAAGGAGACCAATACTTTTCCCAGCTTACCTCTAGCCAGACTGCCCACACTGATGATTTGAGGTGACTTGAAAAATGATAATCCAGTAGAAGAGGTCTGTTTCTTGCCAGGCCTCAGAGCTCCTGACTCAGTAAGCTTTGGAGAAATTGGAGGGGAATAAGCCTACTGCAAAAATTTTGTTAAAAACTATGCATGGACGTCAATGTGTATCCATGTCAAGACTCTGAGAACAAGAATTTGGAGACACCCTTTCCAGGCAGTCCCTGGGGCCTGGCAGCACTACCACTCCTGACTGTGCTTGGATGTGGGGTATGGGAAAATGCTGGCTTCCATTATGGGCAGATCCGTATTTCCTAATTCATATTTGAGTCCATTTTCTAAAACCAGTGCTGGGTCTTAAACTTCTTGCTCGGGAATCAGAAATGTTCAACTTGTATGTAAAAAGGTACGAAAAGAAATGAAATATAGCAGTTTGTATAACATAAGGCCATCTGTTCAAGTGCAACTTGGAAACTTGTAACTTATTTAAATACTACCTGAAAAGGTATCTTTAGTAAACGTAAAAAAGAATTGAAGTAATTAAGAGTAAATGTGTGTAAAAAAAAAATTTCTCTTCGAGGTAACTTTTCTTTTTAAAGAGGAAAGGGACGGGGAGGCAGGGAGGCAGGGAGGACACATGGTTAATGCTTCAACCAAGGGTGGGCTTCAATGGAAGCCTTGCTTCGATCACCATAGTCGTACAGGAGCTCTTCCCCAGCTGCAATGTCTCGGGAGGCAATGAGGATGAGGTGAGGCACACCATTGATGTCATGCAGTTTGGTGTGGCAATTCCCACATTTACTGTGATTGATCAATCTACCCAGGCGGTTTGTTTCTCGAGTAGCATCCACACAATAGGTTTTGCTCAGATATTGAAAATAGTACATGTAGCAACCTGTGGAGGGGTCTTGTTCGTACAGAGCTTCCCGCTTCTTGCCATCAGTGATCTCAATGAGGTCCCCATGGTATTCTACCACGAAATCTCCCCGGGAGAAGCGCTTGGTGGTAATCACACCCCTGCCTTTGCCGTCAATGAGATCAATCTTCATGCCTTCTTCCTTCCCGCTCTCAATCAGCTCATCTATCTTTTTCCTTTTTTCAGACTGCAGCTCAGCTTTGCTCTTCCTTGAGCTCCTTCGGACCTGGGAGAAACCTTTAACTTTTCTATTCGGCTGCTTTTTCCTTTGAGACTTTTTCCTAGCAGCCTGCTTGGCAATCACTGCCCTGGTGGGATAACACGAGAATGGCATTTGGGGAGTTTTTGCTGTTTTGGTAGATTTTCGCTTTGAAAAATGAGCCAGAGGATCTCTCTTGGCCTTTTTGATCTTCAGCTTTTTGGGTTTCATAGCACTTTGGGTCACATTCCCGTCGTTTCTTTGCTTTTTTTGTTTCCTGTAGACTCTCGCTAACTTCTTTCGCAGGCATTTGATCTTGTGATGTGAAGCTGTGTTCTCTTCCTGAAGTGCAGAAGACATTCCAGAGCACGTATCCGGACTCATGTTGTCATAGATCTCTGACTGTCCTGCTAACGCATTCTTCTGAAGCCCAGCTAGGGCCTTGGAGGTTCGGCCGTCACCCTCGAGCTCACTGCTACCACAGGCTGGCCACCAGAGCAGCTTCTGCTGCCGCTGCTGAGGCTGCTTCCACCAGTGCCGACGAGGTGCCCCAGGGAAGGGTCTGATAACTACCCTAGTGCCCACTTCACCCATGACCTGCAGGAGGCTGTGCAACTGATTGCACTGAGGGCTGGACAAGGAGAAAGACTGGCTAAATTCATCATTATTCATTGGTGATTTTTTTCTCCTTGTTTCCCAGTTGAGGATGGATTCCATCTCTTGATATCTGAAATCATTATCCAGAGAATATTATAATCATTTTGGGATATATGTTCTTAAAAATTTCACAGATAGACTTTTAAGTTCTTTGACTACCTCTGGAATTTAGACTGTGCTACTTGGATTATAGACTAGAGTAGATCTATGGCAGCATGGTCTAAAAGAGAGAAATTGAGACTTTTTTCTTATTTCTGTATGGTGTCTCTACTGTAAATTTTAATATGAGCAATGAAATGCAGTCAATAGAACTCCCTTCATAGAAAATACTGCTTGTCTAGAAAAAAAAATTGTTAACATATCTACATGGCATATAAGTTGAGATACAGTTGAATGTTATGCAAGTTACTCATTACAAGGACACCTGGGAGTTAGGGTAAGCTGGCATCTACACTTACCTGGTCAGCTAAAAATTCCGGTGGAAAGATGCAGCCGCTTGGGAAACACACTACATTGAATTTTCGGAAGTGTTCCTGTAGGTAGCCAAACAGGACCTCTGAAGAGTAAAATCTCACAGAAATGATATCATTTCCTAATATGTGCACAGAAAGTACATAGGTTAGAGCCAAATGATCTTAGCTCAACACATAATTTCTTAACATTTATTTCAGACATTTGGCTAAATGTTTTATAAACATTGTTTTATTTTGAATTTATATGTAGGAATATAAAACAATACTATGGTCATGATTCATAATGTCTTAGTAATGTAGTCTATAATTAAACATAATTGTGTCTGCTTCCAAATTATCATAATCTTATCTTATACACCCACCTTAAAACAACTTTGTCTTTGTCTACATAAACATTATTTTTACAGAGTCACATATTAAATAAAATGTTAAAGTAAAATCATCAGGTTATACACACTTCAATGTGTATAGCATACTTTATCAATTTTGTATTTTCTTACATTTAAAAGCTTTTTAAAACATATCATCTCTGTTTCTATCTCCTTCCTCCTACCCCTCCCATGTCCACTCCATTCCACATCATGTCCTTCTTTTCCTTAACCATTGCTCTTGTATTTCTATATAAATAAAACCATTAAAATAAACCTGCTGAGTTTATTCAATTCTGTGTTTATATACAGAATTCTATGACTTATCATTCAGTACTGGCAAACCAATCACAGGGCTTACATATTTCTGGGGAAATCTAATTCACAATCTCTCAATAATTGTTACTTGCTTGTAGTACTTCATCTGGCAGTGAGGGCCACATGAGATTTGTCCAGTTTCAATTGGCATGTCACCTCTTTTTGGAATCCCTAAGTCTTTTTGAGGCAGTCAAGTTTTTGAGATTTGATGGATTTAAAGACATACAATCTCACAGCAGGATTCCTGGTCCTCTTACTCTAATAATAGTTCTTTAATATGTTTCTGTGCTTGCTTTATTTTAATTAGGTGACTTTAATTGAAATGTTTCATCACTTATGCTATGAGTAATTAACAATATGCTTTCATAATCACAAAGTTAGTTAAAGAGGGAAGGGTCCTTTAATGAAACAATTCATTTCTTTTAGCTGTCACAAATCAACACAATCTTGGGAGGCAATATGCGGTCCTTACCTTAAGGGTCCTCAAAGAAGATCACTATGTTTCCATAAGCTATACTCAACTGGTCAGGAGAACATACACTTAACATTATGTCTCTGTTTCAAGGTAAACAGCGGTTGCCTTGGAGACCCCACAGAGTAAAATTCTACTTAAATCTCATTGGACAAACCAATGTGACATGGCATAAATGTAACAAAAGGATTCAAAAAGTCTAGTTTCCCCCATCCAGGAATTTTATAAATACATCTCAAAATTGAGGATCTATTAATAAGTAATTAATTGATATACCTGCAAAATTTGAAAAGTATAATATAACTAACTATGTTGGCTTGAATCAGAATGCCCTCATAGGATCATACATTTGGGTATATGGTTGCTAGTTGGTGGAACTAGCTAGTTGGAAAGGACTAGTAGGTATGGTATTTTTGGAGGAGATCCATCATAGGGGGTAAGCTTTGGTGTTTTAAAATGCCCGTATAATCCCAGTTTTCTCTCTATGCCTCAGTTTTGCTCATGGGTAAAAATGTAAGCTCTTAGTTAGTACTAAAGTGCCCTACCTGCCTGATATCATGTACACATGATGGTCATAGACTCCAAATCATCTCCAACTGTAGGCCTTAATGCTTTTTTCCGTAAGTTTTCTTGGTTATTGTGACTTATCATCCAATGGAGAAATAAGTAAGGCAATGACAAACACCAAAATAATCTATGAGATAGGTTCATTATGCCTCACATATTTAGAGGTTTAATTGTGTTACCAATTGTCCTTGTAGTTTGGGGCCTATGAGGTTGTAGCTTGTTATTCTGGGGAGCAATGCCATATCAAAATGTTTTTATCAATAGCAGGAAATAAGAGAGGAGGAGGAAGGGACTAGGGTTTCACTACCTCCTTTCAATGAAACTACCCAGTGACCTTTAATCTAAGTACTCCAGAGACAAAGACAGGTGTGTCTCTGAGATTGAGATCAGCCTGGTCTACGTATTCAGCTTCAGGACAGTCAAGCTTGGGCAGTGAAGGAAAAACTATCGAAAACAGAAAGTTAGCAAAGATGTAATTGAATAAGAGGGTCATGTTCTGGCTTCAGTAAGCAACATAACTTGGCAAATTTAACCATGTGATTCTGGCTTTAAGGATAAAAGAAAGGAGTTGTCCAATATTCCTCCACTACTATGGAAAGCCACTGAGGTCAGGAATGTGTCAGAGTTGAATAGAGGCCTAGAGACGACATTGTGTCAAGCTGTGGAGTTGAATCTTGGATTGTCATTGAGGCCCCAAGTTGTTGTAGATGTCAGAGCCATGGGACACTTGCTGAGGAAAGTTGGTAACAGAAAGTAGAAACAGACCAAGAGAAAAAGCAGGTTTCAGTCAACAAAGTGGATAGGAATTGGAGATCTAAAGAGTGTTTTGACATCAGACATGGAGATATAGTGTTTGGAGGTTTCCCAGCTGTTTTTTGGTCTTGCTTTCGTCCAGTATTTTCTCACTTTGCTCCATCCCCTTCATTTTGGAATGGTAATATATATCCTAGTCCACTACATATTGTAACTACGTGATCTATTTTTCATTTTCATTTTATAAGGGATTATATTTAAGAGATTACCTGAATCTCAGATGAAATTTTAAACTTTGGACTTTAAATTATTTTTTGAGACTAAGAAAGACCATGCAGACTTTTGAAGTTGGACTAAATACATTTTGCACTACGATATTTTTACATGATTTGGAAGGCCAGGGAGTTAAATGTGGTAATTTGAATGTAATTAACACTCATAAGCTCATTGGGAATGACACTATTATAAGAGTTGGCTTTTTTGGACTAGGTGTGGCCATGTTGGAGGAAGTTTGTCACTGTAGGGGTGGGCTTTGAAGTCTTCTATGCTCAAGATATTCCCAGAGTCTCAAACTACTTCTTCCTGCCTGTGAATCAAGATATAAGTCTCTCATCTCCTTCTCTAGCATCACGTTTGCCTGCATGCCAACATGCTGCACCATGATGATAACAGACTAAACCTCTGAAAATTTAAGCCACACTTATTAAATATCTTCCTTTATAAGTGTTGCTGTGGTCATGGTGACTTTTCACAGCAATAGAAACCCTAACTAAAATATATAATATCAAAGTAGCTTTCTAGATTATGTCTGCTCACATACATAAAGGGGTTTAAATGGGGTGATCAGTAATAGAATAACAATATCCCTACTAGATATGATAGTCTAAAATATATTACCCCAGTACATACAACTGATTTCTTCTTTTTGAATTGCTGAAGAGTGAGGACTTAAAAACTCCCAATCATTAGAGGCTATTGACATTGTACTTGCTTACACCAAATAACTTGACAATAAGATGCTGTTCATGAAGATACCACATATTTTCATCATAGAATATGGTGAAGCCAACCTGCGATTGAGAGAAGCTTAATCACTACTCTCTAGCTTTTGTAGTTCTGCAAGATGCTTTGTAAGATTTCAGAGTTCAAAATTAATTATCAATTGTATCTGGCTATGAACCCTGTGAGCTCTCATAATGATTAGCATGGCAAAATATGGCCACTGGTGCAACAGTGGCATGAAGACCAGGTAAATGACTAATCACTTTTGATTGGCTTTAGGTCTTATACCACAAGGCAAAATCTACAGCTAACATTATTATTAGGACTAGGAACATATATCTAAACAGTTCATAGATAGATCTTAGAGGGAAAATACTATTATTATTCTACTAATTATACACAGTATTAAACTGTCTCCTAGTGACTTATTATCAAGAACACAATAGATTAATTCCTCAATGAACCTTTATCAGAGGTGCATCTATTCACAATAGATGATCATTAGCACGGAGATCCATGACAGATAAGTGAAGAGAGAAAGAGACTGTAGAACTTTTAGATTTAAGTGGGACTTCTATATCACAGTCCCTCCTTCCAAGTCTCAGTAATCACTGTGGAAGAAGGAGTACAAAGAGTGCAAGAACCAGAAGTGGTAGATGACTCTCTTCTTGACACAAAATGGTAGCTCCACATTTTAATTCAAAATGATTGTGACATCATGCATAAGACCAGGGTAAACTCAAGGTACACAGAATTCCCCATCTGAAAAGTAGAGGTGGGTACAAAGTT